GGGTTTGAACCTACGCACTGAGTGTTCCCAGACATGCTCTAGTCGACTGTACCACAACATGTACCCAGACTAGAGCACGTCTGGGAACTCTCAGCGCATTGGTTCGAACCCTCATCAAGGCTCTTGAGGATTTATTCTTTGATATATAATGTTAATGTGACTTCTCTGGGTATTATTATTAGTATTATATTTATTATTATTAATATATATAGCTGAACAGTCCAAGGATGAAATCCTGAAAAATATTATTGCAAATAAAAAGTATTTTTCATATTTTCTCTGTTACCTTGAGGTCCTGACAGCAAAATGTTAACTATAGTTTCACAAAACTTTTAACTGACATTAGTAACTGATCCAGCATTCCAGGACTTTAAATTTAGTCTTTAGGCTTTAATTTGAAAAGCCTTTTAACAAAACAATGGTGACAGACATTAGGGAAAACTGTTAACCATACAATTAATAATATTTAATAATTTGTAACAATTTAGGTGTAGTAGAGAGTGGAGATTAAACTACAGACTGCCACGACTAACACAGTTAAATTGAAAGAAGTGACTGATTGATTGAAGTGATTTATACGAATCTCCATCAGACTGCTTAGGGCAGAAGCAGCTTTGTAATAGTACAGGTGATGATGTTTCTGTTCTTGTTAAATGTGCTCTAAACGTTTCCACCAAGGCTTCTATTTCATTAGGAGTGACTAACGGATATATAAATGCATAAAAATATATCAATATTTTAACCTTTCTGCCTTGAACCCAAATGTTAAAAAATGTATAGAACATTTTTAGGTCAAATTATTTGCATTTAATAGTAACAAAACTATACTGTACTACAATAGCAATGATGTGATAAAAATAACTGCTCACTTGTTTATCATTAAAAACAACTCTGCTCACTTGTTTATCATTAAAAACAACTCTGCTCACTTGTTTATCATTAAAAACAACTCTGCTCACTTGTTTATCACTAAAAACAACTCTGCTCACTTGTTTATCATTAAAAACAACTCTGCTCACTTGTTTATCATTAAAAACAACTCTGCTCACTTGTTTATCATTAAAAACAACTCTGCTCACTTGTTTATCATTAAAAACAACTCTGCTCACTTGTTTATCATTCAGCTGTAAACAAATGAGCAAATGACTACCAAACACAATTCGTTTAGGGCCCCAAGGTTCCTCCTACTCAAGGAAAAAGTAATTGATGAGAATGCAATAAAAATCTAAACTCCTTTTTCAATTAAGTCCTCGTATTCGATGATATAACAACTGTCTATAATGTAATACAAAAATTACTGACACTTTTAGCCTAAAATGTCTTTTATCCAGCATTAATCACATGACTAGATTATCAAAACCTGCATTGATCACATGACTAGATTATCAAAACCAGCATTGATCACATGACTAGATTATCAAAACCAGCATTAATCACATGACTAGATTATCAAAACCAGCATTAATCACATGACTAGATTATCAAAACACCCCTGTTTGATGCCTCTACCTTGAAGTACTCGCAGACAAAAGAGGTGAGTTGTGAATCTACATCTGAAACATTGTGGGATCAGAGAGCATTTTGGGAGGGTTATTTCAGCAGGAACAAAGGAAAACTGGATTCACTTGCAAAGAGGATTCGATTCTTGCCTGTAACTGGAATCGTGGATCGGATATCACTCGGATGGATTGATGAACGCTGAAGAGTTGTTGAGGTAGGTCAGGTCCTGCAACGTTGACTCTTGTTAGTAGTAGAGACTGGATTGTGGTGGTAAGATGTACAGTATTGCTAGTGGTAGTGAAGATGTGAGTTGTGGTGAGGCACTGATGATATTAGTGGTTGATAAGGACAGTTTTTTGTTTTGTTATAATACTGATGAAATACTGCATATACAGTACAGTACAGATAATAAGGTATATGAGAGATAATCTTTGGAGCATGGCATTGGAATTGAATCAGTGTTCTGGGTCACCCTCAGTGGAGCGGGGTAGTGACTCAGCCGTACTGACCTGTGTTACCCCTCGGAGAGCGGAGGTGTGACCCAGCCATATTTCTCGTGAGTCTTGACCAGGGACCTGAAGGCTGACTCGGCTGATCTCTTATTAAATTCCTTTGGGGCTCTGTGTTTCCGTGATATCCGTCCCTACGGAAATGTAAATGTTTGTTACAGTAGGGGAAACTGATGAATTTTTATGAAGAATAATGGTTGGAGGCAGATACTGCATTGTAAAAAGTATTTGGAAGGTAATTCAAAGAGCCATTTCGTGAATACAAATGGAAAGTTCTACTCTGTAAGGATTGCCACCACATGTGATGCTCTGAAAGAAGTAGTCATGGAAGCCACCTCCAGCCAAGGTGACATCCTTCACTGAGGTATTATCATGGACAGGACGTATGTCCTGTGTGCTTTTTGGAGAAAGTTGTACTGCATATTGGGGCTGTTCTTGAGTATTAAGTCAGCAGCCCTTTTTGTTTGGTAGTAAATTATGAAGTCCCATTTTTGGTTTGGGGCTGTCAGTTTCACTACATTTGAAATTGAATTTTTTATTATTCTTTCTTCTGGTTTTATACTGTGAACTCACAGTGGATTTGTAAAATAGTTTTTTGGGAGGCATTGCTTGCTGTTGCCGTTGTTGTCTCAAACACCAAGAGAACAACAACCACCACTATTGGAGTGGTGGTTTCAAGCAACCACCACTATTGGAGTGGTGGTTTCAAGCAACCACCACTCCAATAAAACTCTATTACAAATCCACTTTTAGATCATATTATAAAAAAACAGGAGAAAGAATATTAAAAATGCAATTTCAAATGGAGTGAAACTGACAGCTCCAGATAAAAAATTGGATTTCACTATTTACTTCCAAACAAAAGGGACTGCTGCTGACTCAAGAACAGCCATAATAAACAATACAACTCTCTCAATTGGTAGTATACCAATTTACATGCCCCCAATGAAAGATGTCACCTTCAAACTACTTATGTTGCTATGACCACCACAAAACTTTCGAAGAGACTGTCCTGCCATCTACAAGTTAGTGCCCCTAGAAACCTTATGTAAAGTGAATACAACACAATACTCACTAGGAACATACTAGTAGATAATACAATAATTATAGAATTTACCACTGACCAAAGAAGATTGCGAGATCCTAGAAGTTATACTCATAAGAAAAACACACCCACCTTATATACACAGAATAATGACTTGGCTTCCTTGCCAACACTTAAGACCCAGACCTCACCAAGCACCTCCGGACAATGATGTCTCTACCATGATTATCCGGAGGCATCGAGGTCTCTTTGTGACTAAACACATAAGAAAAATAGAGAAGATTCATGCTATAATCATTGATATCACCCTTTCTATCACCTTCAAGAAATATACTAATGCTAAGTATATTCACAGCTATACAGTACTGTATATTGTGATATATAAGGTGAATATACTCAAATGCGATATTGAACGTTTATATAAAAGTATGTTTACTACTGTTCAACTTATGATTTTAAGGAAATCTACTACAGTACTGTACTTCAATACATTATTACAGTTGCCCCCCCCCCCCAAAAAAAAAAAAAACTTGAGCCTGTCAGGTCAAGTGATAGGCTCAGAGTGCAGTCTTTGATGTTTTTAGGAGGTACTATTTGCGAAATTCTACATGGGTACCATCGAACAAAAGGTCTTAGTCGACATGAACTTGAAACCAGCCATATACTGCAGGTATGTGGACGACATTTTTACACAGGTACCTGATGTCAGACATCTGCAGGAGCTGAAGGAGGCATTTGAGCGGAATTCTGTGTTGCGTTTCACTTACGAGATGGAGAAGGATGGGAAGCTGCCCTTTCTAGATGTAACAGTTGACTGCCCAGACAGGTACAAGAGGAGTGTCGTTAACGCTTATGTCGACCGTGCTCTCAGCCACAGCTCAGGATGGAAGCAAGTCGAAGCAACTCTGTAGGGTAAGGCAGGTCCTAGTCAACAACGGCTTCTCCAATGGTTTCGTTGAAGACATCACAAGAAGGAAGGTGAAACCCCATGCAACCTCTGAAGAGACAACTAACACAACACCTGTACCCCCATATTAGACTATTTTACAGGAACTTCTTTTCCACAGCTCATAAAACGGAGGAAAGGGGTCCTGAAAGATATTGTTAATAGAAACGTTATCCCTACAGACAAGAATCAGAATATACAATAGACGATTTACTATAAAACCAAGAAAACTGCCAACCTACTCATGAGAAACTCTCCAGACACAAAGCAGAACACTTTGAAAGAGACCAATGTCATCTATGCCTTCAAATGCCCACTTGGGGACTGTAAGCCTCAAAGAACTCAGTATATAGGCAAGACAACAACATCTCTCTCCAGGCGATTAACGATGCATAAGCAACAGGGGCTTCATTAAAGAACATATAATATCTTCCCACAACCAGACCATCACCAGAGAAGTCTTAACAAAAAACACAGAAATCATCGATAGTTACAGCGATAGCAGGCGGCTTGATATCTGCGAGGCACTACACATTTAAGAAGTCAACACCAGCAATCAACAGCCAATTAATGCACAACTATATTCTACCCACTTCAAGACTCCGCACCAATATAGAAGCATCAAGAAATATGGGCCAATAGGCCCTTTGCAGTTACTTCCATTCTTCCCTTTAACTTACCCAATATTATACCCATTGTTTCGTGTTCTGTCTTGTGTTGAAAGTTTGTTTTCACCTCATCCAAAACTGTTGTAACATATCACCTCGCCCAAATGCAGGTATATAAGATGAAAGCCGTTTGAATTATAGCACAATAGAATTCTGTTTAGTGTTTGCAGGTTATAGTTGTGTGTGTGTAAACTAAAGTCTTTGAAAATGTAATAAGTTATTACGAAACGCGTTCAAGTGTCGCGTCAGACTAGAAATAAAAATGAATTTTGGAGAATTGATTTTTCAATTACCATCGACAGTGAAAAGAAACATAAGAAATATTGAGAAAATTCGTGTTAGAATTATTAATCTTACTTTTTTGGTCATATTTAATAATATATGTCTACAGGAAAGACTGCTACCAAATATATATATATATATATATATATATATATATATATATATATATATATATATATATATATATATATATATATATATATATATATATATATATATATATATATAGCCACCTAATAGCCAGAACGCACTTCTCAGCCTACTATTCAAGGCCCGATTTGCCTAATAAGCCAAGTTTTCATGAATTAATGTTTTTTCGTCTACCTAACCTACCTAACCTAACCTAACCTAGCTTTTTTTGGCTACCTAACCTAACCTTACCTATAAATATAGGTTAGGTTAGGTTAGGTAGGGTTGGTTAGGTTCGGTCATATATCTACGTTAATTTTAATTCCAATAAAAAAAAATTGACCTCATACATAGAGAAAAGGGTTGCTTTATCATTTCATAAGAAAAAAATTATAGTAAATATATTAATTCAGGAAAACTTGGCTTATTAGGCAAATCGGGCCTTGAATAGAAGGCTGAGAAGTGAGTTCTGGCTACTAGGTACGACATATATATATATATATATATATATATATATATATATATATATATATATATATATATATATATATATATATATATATATATATATATATATATATATATATGTCGTACCTAGTAGCCAGAACTCACTTCTCAGCCTACTATGCAAGGCCCAATTTGCCTAATAAGCCAAGTTTTCATGAATTAATTGCTTTTCGACTACCTAACCTACCTAACCTAACCTAACCTAACTTTTTCGGCTACCTAACCTAACCTAACCTATAAAGATAGGTTAGGTTAGGTTAGGTAGGGTTGGTTAGGTTCGGTCATATATCTACGTTAATTTTAACTCCAATAAAAAAAATTGACCTCTTACATAATGAAATAGGTTGCTTTATCATTTCATAAGAAAAAAATTAGAGAAAATATATTAATTCATGAAAACTTGGCTTATTAGGCAAATCGGGCCTTGCATTGTAGGCTGAAAAGTGAGTTCTGGCTACTAGGTACGACATATATATATATATATATATATATATATATATATATATATATATATATATATATATATATATATATATATATATATGTCGTACCTAGTAGCCAGAACGCACTTCTCAGCCTACTATGCAATGCCCGATTTGCCTAATAAGCCAAGTTTTCATGAATTAATGTTTTTTCGACTACCTAACCTACCTAACCTAACCTAACCTAACCTAACTTTTTTGGCTACCTAACCTAACCTAACCTATAAAGATAGGTTAGGTTAGGTTAGGTAGGGTTGGTTAGGTTCGGTCATATATCTACGTTAATTTTAACTCCAATAAAAAAAATTGACCTCATACATAATGAAATGGGTAGCTTTATCATTTCATAAGAAAAAAATTAGAGAAAATATATTAATTCAGGAAAACTTGGCTTATTAGGCAAATCGGGCCTTGCATAGTAGGCTGAGAAGTGCGTTCTGGCTACTAGGTACGACATATATATATATAATATATATATATATATATATATATATATATATGTCGTACCTAGTAGCCAGAACGCACTTCTCAGCCTACTATGCAAGGCCCGATTTGCCTAATAAGCCAAGTTTTCATGAATTAATTGTTTTTCGACTACCTAACCTACCTAACCTAACCTAACCTAACTTTTTCGGCTACCTAACCTAACCTGACCTATAAAGATAGGTTAGGTTAGGTTAGGTAGGGTTGGTTAGGTTCAGTCATATATCTACATTAATTTTAACTTTAATAAAAAAAAATTGACCTCATACATAATGAAATGAGGTAGCTTTATCATTTTATAAGAAAAAAATTAGAGAAAACATATTAATTCAGGAAAACTTGGCCTATTAGGCAAATCGGGCCTTGCATAGTAGGCTGAGAAGTGCGTTCTGGCTACTAGGTACGACATATATATATATATATATATATATATATATATATATATATATATATATATATATATATATATGAAGACTTAGAAGAGGATTGATATATTTGTATCGCTTTGTTAAAATATTAAATAGAGGTTCATCATTTGTAATATAATTTCTGTTTAAGTTGTTTGGTTTGTGTGATGAATGCTCTCTCTCTCTCTCTCTCTCTCTCTCTCTCTCTCTCTCTCTCTCTCTCTCTCTCTCTCTCTCTCTCTCTCTCTCTCTCTCTCTCTCTCTCTCTCTCTTCTCTCTCTCTCTCTCTCTCTCTCTCTCTCTCTTCTCTCTCTCTCTCTCTCTCTCTCTCTCTCTCTCTCTCTCTCTCTCTCTCTCTCTCTCTCTCTCCTCTCTCTCTCTCTCTCTCTCTCTCTCTCTCTCTCTCTCTCTCTCTCTCTCTCTCTCTCTCTCTCTCTCTCTCTCTCTCTCTCTCTCTCTCTCTCTCTCTCTCTCTCTCTTTATTTTTCCATCAACCTCTTTATCTCAAATTGGATCACCAAAGTCGCGACCTTTCAGGACGTTCCACTGAATTCTACACCCACTGTGGAACACCCGGCCAGGAGTGTAGGGGGGTAAATCCACTGTGGAACACCCGGGCCAGGAGTGTAGGGGGGGTAAACCCACTGTGGAACACCCGGGCCAGGAGTGTAAGAGCAGCCCATCCTCATAAACAAAGGCCAGTCCATTCCATCCACCCGCCAACCCCAGCTGTTTATGAATGACAAACAGTTTACACAGGACTCAGAACTGATGACGTCTGAACACTTCCGGGTTACCAAGAGGCAATTGTTTACATGTATAATGTGACGGGTCGGTGGGTGAAGATGGCAGGGCAGGGTGTGGTGTCCTAAAAAGGGAATATACTGAGTTTGGAACTGTGGACAGGAAAATTAAGAGTTGGAAATGGTACGTCTCAACCATTACAGGAATAGTGCTCAACAAGGTGGCAGATGATGTAGCCAAACGGGTTCACATCTAAATCACAAGTTGACATTGAATGTGTTTTATCAATGAGAGAAATAAGAAGTAAAATCAGAAATATTTTTTTTTATAAAAGAAACCACAATGTACAAAGAGAAAATCACAGAAAAATAAAAACATGAGTACATAGAGGACATGCAGAATAAAGTAACACAACATTAAAGAACCTAAACACAAGAAGAAGCAAAAGTGAAACACACATGATACAAAGCATACAATACACCCATACACGGGCACAAAATACAGATCCAAAACAAAAACAGGAACAGTACAAGAAACAAAACATTAATAACAGAAAACAGAACTACACAGGGAACCTTAAGTACAAAGACAAACAAAGTAGTACAAAAAGACACATGCAAACGACCAGAAGGCCGTAAAAACACAAGTACATAATATAAACTCACCACACCAAAAAACACACACACACACACACACACACACACACACACACAGCACAACACACACACACACACACACACACACACACACACACACACACACACACACACACACACACAGCAGCAAGTATAAAACCAGCCACGCACAAGTCACACAGAACATACAGAACAGATACAGAAAGACACGGACCCACAGACACATACGCAAACCCACAAACAAAAAACCGGAACACGCAGGAACCGGAAAACAAAACCCGCCCCACCCAGACACACACAAAACCCCACCCACAACCACGCACCCATGCGCAAGCAACACAACAACAAGTAATCATTTAGGAGGATATTTCTCAGGGAACAGTCTCGATGGATACTTCCGCTTATATACCTCCCATATCCAATACTCCCGTTCGGTAGGGGAAACGCCCCCACGACGCCGCGGGTATGGCATATACTCAGGGACCACCAAATCCGGCGGAAGCGAACGCCCCCAACCAGAGGACACCGAAGACGAAGAACGAGTCAGGTGAGGCAGGAACACCTCCGCCGTGGAAGCAGGAGATACCGGAACAGCGGGCGGAGGCTGCCGAGGCGGCAACACCCCCTCCGACAAAGCAGGAGACACAGAAGAAATGGCCATAGACTCGAGAGGGCAAAACCTGCGTCGACGAAACAGGGGACAGGGAAGGGGGCACGGAACCCTCAGAGCGAGCAGTTTTCTTCAGCACCACCACCAGGTCGCCACGCTCACCCTCAACCTCGCAAGGGGGAACCACCCCCCACGAGGAACCGGAACCATCCGACGCGGGCGACGCACCCGAATCAAGAGCCACAGGCCCCACACCGGCCCCCGCCCCTACAGCAGGAGCCACACCAGGGGCCACACCATCCACCGGAACCACGCCAGCACCAGACGCACCATCCTCGCACTCCACAGAGGAACAGCTCGCAGAAGAAATATCAACACACGCCGCATCCTCACATTCCTCTGCCCACGTACGAGGAGGCAAAGCACCCGTATCCGTACGTGAACGCTTGGGGACAGGCCGTTGGTCATCGGAGCTGTCACCCCCTGCAGGAGGCACCCGAGAAGAGCCGGCGGCAGGCCGCCCCACAACCGGGGGAGCACGACCCCACAGAATGTCAGCCTCAACGACTCGGGGGAGGAGACCGCCACCCACAGAGGAGACAGGAGAAAGAACAGGCACGGCCGAAGGGGAAGGGATCAACACAGGTGAGGGAGCCTGCAGGGACGTCGAAGGTGACAGGCGCAGAGGCGGAAACAGGTACAGAAGCCGTCGGAAGCGAAGAGACAGACTGCGGGGGCGGAGCCGCACACACCACCACCTCATCGTGTACACCACCATCCACACATGCCGGGTCAGCAGGCGGCTGGGGAACCTCCCCACCCACTCCATCACGAGGCGACAGGTCCTGCGCCACCAACGGGGGAAAATCCTCTTCCCGGAACAGATTAACAGGTGCAGCCGCGACCCCAGTGCAAGCGACCGCCAGGTGCCCCTCAAGGCCACAATGAAAACAGGAGCGTGGCTGCCTCTGCATAGAATGCCCGCGGAGTGTACCCCAGCAAGGTAACCGTGGAGGAAACCGGGGACTTGAATCTCAAGTCAAGAGTCCCTGTACCACAGGAGACCCCACGCCACCTGCCGGAAGAGACCGGAGTTCATACGGAGGGATACCACCGTACCATATTAGCCAAAGTATCTCCGAAGCAGGGCCTCCTAAAACTCGAAGGGCACACTATGCAATGCCACAAAGATAACAGAGCAGCAGCGGTCGGAAATGGTGACCGTACCACTGTCCCCAGGGAGGGTCAATGTTCGTCCATCATAGCGGGCGACGAACTCCTTCCATACAGATGGCGCCTCCCTCCATCACGAAGCCCTGGGGAGGGTTGGGGGAGTTAATGTAACATCTGCATCCAGGGGGCTTGGTACACATTAGTAACAACCCGTTCTCGCAAATTTAATAAGTCAATATTGACTTATTAAATATGTGCATAGGTGACATACTTAACATAATAGATACCCAAAAAGATTCATAGAAAACACCGATCTTACCTAACCTTGTTAGTATCTTAAGATAAGCATCTTATTGCTTTGTAATTACAATTATTACCTAACCTAAATAGGCGAAGCAATAAGATGCTTATCTTAAGATAATAACAAGGTTAGGTAAGGTCGGTGTTTTCTATGAATCTTTTTAAGGGTATCTATTATGTTAGTATATCACCTATGCACGTAGTTAATAAGTCAATATTGACTTTACGAATTTGCGAGAACGGGTTGTAGTAACACCACCATCAACCACCCCACCAGCCAGGAGGACATGTAAACACACAGCAACAACATCAACAACAGCCCACCCACCTTTTCCAGTCTGGGTGAGAGTACTCTGAGGAAGGGCGGATGGAAGGGGAAGTTCTCCGGGAAGCTGAGAGAGAGGAGTATGTGGTGGATGCCCAGCTCCTGCATGTCTCGGTACAGCTCGGAGTCCGAGTCAACCCGCAGCAACTTGACCTGTGGAGATCCACACAAAAATGTTACCCATTGTATCACCCACACCTTCAAGGTCTTCAGTGTGATTGTTGTATATAAATATAAATAAATAAGTAAATAAATAATTAAATAAATGTAATGTGTTTATTGACGACTAAATCTTCAGTCTTTTTTATATTTGTATAAGTTTTGTGTTAATGGACGTTTTCAGTATGCTTAGGTTATTGTTTTATTTGCACACACCCACTTGCACTATCCAGTTTCTCGGTGTATATTCGCTAACTTTACTTTAGTTCAGAATGATACTGGCTAAAATATTCTTGCGGGTTTGTCAGTAAGCTATTGTGTTTGCCTTAATAACCCTCCAGTGGTTGATAGGGTTTAATAATCCTTCAGAAGTTGATAGGCCTTAATAACCCTCCAGTGGTTGATAGGCCTTAATAACCCTCCAGTGGTTGATAGGCCTTAATAACCCTCCAGTGGTTGATAGGCCGTAATAATTCCCCAGTGGTTGATAGGCCTTAATAACCCCCCAGAGGTTGATAGACCTTAATAACCCTCCAGTGGTTGATAGGCCTTAATAACCCTCCAGTGGTTGATAGGCCTTAATAACCCTCCAGTGGTTGATAGGCCTTAATAACCCTCCAGTGGTTGATAGGCCTTAACAACCCTCCAGAGGTTGATAGACCTTAATAACCCTCCAGTGGTTGATAGGCCTTAATAACCCTCCAGTGGTTGATAGGCCTTAACAACCCTCCAGAGGTTGATAGGCCTTAATAACCCTCCAGAGGTTGATAGGCCTTAATAACCCTCCAGAGGTTGATAGGCCTTAATAACCCTCCAGTGGTTGATAGGCCTTAATAACCCTCCAGAGGTTGATAGGCCTTAATAACCCTCCAGTGGTTGATAGGCCTTAATAACCCTCCAGAGGTTGATAGGCCTTAATAACCCTCCAGAGGTTGATAGGCCTTAACAACCCTAACAAATGTTGCACTATAATTATTGAATGTTCCTTGAGTCTGTTTCAATGCAGCCCAATTTCCGAATAGACAGTACGTTTTAACACTAAAATGCAATAAGTACAATCCTGACTATCGGCATAGTACATAAATACACTTAATCGCCAGCATCGCACCAAAATATTGTGAGTATTAGAGTTAACCTGAAAAGCTGCATAGAAAACCCCGACCTAACCTAACTTTGGGAGTGTAGGAGGACAGGCATGTAAATTGCTTCTTAATTACAATTTAGTACTTAAACTATAACTATATTATACTGTATTACAGTTTTATTTAATCAATAAAATAAAACTAAAGCCTTTCATTAAATTATAAAGTAACTCAGGATATTTTCAAATTTTGTATAAAATCTCTATTGTTAAATAAAATTGAAAACGAAATTCCTTATATTTAAAACTATAATCTATTATATATTTCTTGTTATGTAACTGTTATCATTTTTTTAGAAATTTTTACAAGTACTTACGTACTTAAAACTTTCTTAGATTAAGGACTTGCCCGAAACGCTGCGCGTACTAGTGGATTTACAAGAATGTAATTACTATGCTATGTATCCTCACAATCCCAATGTACCTTCTTGTATATATATAAATAAATAAATAAACTTGTGTAACTAGATTTGAACACGAAACTTCAACCTAAAAATTATTAGTGTATTAACAGAAAATAAGGAGAATATATGGAGAGGTAAATGTTACAGCACAATTAAGTGTATTTATGTACTCTGCAGACAGTCAGGAATGTACTTATACTTAGTATTAAAACGTATTATCTATTCGGAGGAAGAGTTGCATTACCAAACACATCTGAATATTGAAGTCCCCCCTTGTGTTCGTTCTTATTTTTTTATTCTAATTCCGTTTTCATTATATATATTAAAAGTAAATATTAAAGTAACCCCTGTATTTGTTCTAATTTTTTTATAATTCCGTTTTCATTGCATCGATTATAAGATGTCTTCTGGACTACGGAAACCCTAGTTAAAGCCTTTTCACCTTGCTAAAAAACTGGCGAATGTTTTCTCCTCGAGAGAATAACAATATTCCAAATTTGGACCAGAAACATTTGGGGTCAATGAGGCTGAATATAAGAAAGAGCTTCCTGAACTCGGAAGAAAACGGGATTATGTTCCCTTAGCTTAAAAATAAAATATAGTTTTTGACTGACATTTTGGTCCTCAGACTAGTAAGAACTGAATGACATGGCTGAACATAGTCACGGACACATACACTGAGAGGTATACCCAAGAACTGTCGGTGTATATACAGCGAGAGTATACTTTAGTCCTGGACAATGTGAGCGACTAAAGTATACCTGCTGGTTGGACAATAAGGTGTTGTGGTGGCCTTAATAACCCTCCAGAGGGTGATAGACCTTAATAACCCAGATTCTGTACAAAATTAAATGCTTCCTTCATAAGTGAGTTGCAGAGTGAGGTATTTCACCAAAGAAAATGGCAGATCACTCTGTGATTACAGAAAATGGAATAATGGTGCTTTTTTTAATAAAAATAACATACTGCTTCATAATTTTTTTGTTTTTTATTTACAAGCAGATTTTCAGCTCTCTGTGGGTCCCCACCTTCTACTACTCACTTTGGATAACTTTACGAGGATTAAGTTCTAGTTGTTGGCCTCCGCCTCTGGATCATCAGTCATCCTTTGTGATGACTGGGATTAAGACAAAATACTTTTTGTGTGTATCTCACTGTGATATTGTATATATCGAGATCATGCCTCCTCTAGGCAAGATCTTAATATAAACTCAATATCTCTTGCAATATAAATTTTAGTTCTCTTTGTCCTCTCTTCAAATGACAGATCTCTCAGTTTAACAATTAGTCCTACGACAAACCTCAGAATTTGCTTTATTTTCTCTATATTCTTGACAATGAGAGAGTTGTCATTTGACCCTGCATACTCTTACATTGGTCTTACATATGTTACATCAGCGGTTGTTTTAATAAATACCTCAATTAGTATTAAACTTTAGTCTTTAGTGTTTTTCCTGCCTGAAACGCTTTGCGTAATAGTGGCTTTAGGCATTGTATGTACTAGCTCTATCTATAAATCCATCAATGTTTGTATCACACCTTGTATGTATGTACTTTACCTGAATAAACATTTGAATTTTAATTTGATTTTTTTTTTTAATTTGTTGAATACAGTATCTCAAATGACTCCATATCCATGTTCCACTAAGTTGTTCTTATATTTGCTTGTTTTGCACATCTCACTTATAAGGACCTGCAGGCATCGCTGTGTGTGTTAGTGGCTGTGTAAGATTGTAAGAACACCAATGTTATGTACTCTCACAACCCAGTGTAACTTTTTGTATATTAATATAAAAACAAAAATGTTATTTTGTCCATGTGTTTATCAGGGTGTGACAGACTCTGTGTGATGTACAGCCCATTACAATATATTTCTGGACGAATACTCTTGTTTAAACCCAATTTTCATCCAATATTCATGTTAGGATCACAATCTTAACTCTCAAACACGTCTCAATCACTCTTAAACCCAAAGTTAAAACAGAAGGGGAAAGGTTGAGCACAAAATAAAACCGGAGCAGAGAGGCTCTACATCAATAAAATTAATTAATTTTGATTATGTAAAACTTTTTTTTTTTATCTCGTCACTATTCTTTCTTTCTTTCAGTTCATACGCTTTGTTTGTGACTCCATCAGCATTGCCCTGCCAAATGTTGACGCTCTTCTAAGCCACATTGTTCCCGGCTTCCTCAGAACACTCGTGTATCTAATGACGTGGGAGATGGATGCTGTGGTTGTGAGGTAGTGACAGTTAGTAAGGATAGACTGATTTCAGGAGGAATATAGTGGTTGTGAGAAGAACGAGAAAGGGTGTTGTGAGGTGTGCATGGGTTGTGAGGCAGAGCTGACAGGTGGAGAAGGGCTGATAAGAGGAAGGTTGAGAGGCAGAGAGGTTGAGAGATAAATAAGAGTGGAGAGGACTCGACTGCGTGGGGTGAGGGGGTCAAGACGGGCAAGAAGGTTGACAGCCGTCAGGGGGAAGCGGAGGAAAGAGGTCAAAGTGCTCGAGGGAGTTAGACACACACAGGACGGTCGTGAGGTGGTAATTAACGGATAGTGTTGACCTCTCCCTATCCTTCTAGCCCCACCCTCCCTACGACCATCCCCCCCAATTATTTCATACACATATTGATATAAACTTCTAGATACACAAATATTAATTTGTGTATAAAAAGGGGGAACAAGTGCCTGTACTTAAGCTTATAGACGTTTTCCGACCCGGCCAACGACATGCCTTACCCAGGACCTGTTCACTACCAGGAGTGTGAGGCAGCCTGATGGTGTGGTACAAACCTACTGACGGATTGTAAGACTCCACACCCAGCCCCGGCCTCTATGTTGCCGTGGTTACCTCTCCCTGCTGCGAGCATCTCTCTCTCTCTCTCTCTCTCTCTCTCTCTCTCTCTCTCTCTCTCTCTCTCTCTCTCTCTCTCTCTCTCTCTCTCTCTCTCTCTCTCTCTCTCTCCATATAATCTCCGCCTGCAATTTTAGGGTCAAAGTCCCCCCTCAAAACCGGTGAGATTTAAGTCAATTTCGCCGATCCTAAATCTTTTTAATTTTCATATACCAATTAGGAACTGTGGAGGGTGTGTTGGAGAGGTGGTGAGGAGGGAGAGGGAGGGAGAGGGAGGGAGGGAGAGGGAGGGAGAGAGAGTGAAGGGAGAGGGAGGGAGGGAGAGGGAGGGAGAGGGAGGGAGGGAGAGTGAAGGGAGAGGGAGGGAGGGAGAGGGAGGGAGAGGGAGGGAGGGAGAGGGAGGGAGAGGGAGGGAGGGAATTAAACTTCTTCAGATATATTTATATTCCATTTAGAAATTTCATCCCAGTCTGGTCGACCCAGTGTGTACTGTCACCAGTCTGGTCGACCCACCGTGTACTGTCACCAGTCTGGTCGACCCACCGTGTACTGTCACCAGTCTGGTCGACCCACCATGTACTGTCACCAGTCTGGTCGACCCACCGTGTACTGTCACCAGTCTGGTCGACCCACCGTGTACTGTCACCAGTCTGGTCGACCCACCGTGTACTGTCACCAGTCTGGTCGACCCACCGTGTACTGTCACCAGTCTGGTCGACCCAGTGTGTACTGTCACCAGTCTGGTCGACCCACCGTGTACTGTCACCAGTCTGGTCGACCCACCGTGTACTGTCACCAGTCTGGTCGACCCACCGTGTACTGTCACCAGTCTGGTCGACCCAGTGTGTACTGTCACCAGTCTGGTCGACCCAGTGTGTACTGTCACCAGTCTGGTCGACCCACCGTGTACTGTCACCAGTCTGGTCGACCCACCGTGTACTGTCACCAGTCTGGTCGACCCAGTGTGTAATGTCACCAGTCTGGTCGACCCACCGTGTACTGTCACCAGTCTGGTCGACCCAGTGTGTACTGTCACCAGTCTGGTCGACCCAGTGTGTACTGTCACCAGTCTGGTCGACCCACCGTGTACTGTCACCAGTCTGGTCGACCCAGTGTGTACTGTCACCAGTCTGGTCGACCCAGTGTGTACTGTCACCAGTCTGGTCGACCCAGTGTGTACTGTCACCAGTCTGGTCGACCCAGTGTGTACTGTCACCAGTCTGGTCGACCTCCTGTGTACTGTCACCAGTCTGGTCGACCCAGTGTGTACTGTCACCAGTCTGGTCGACCCACCGTGTACTGTCACCAGTCTGGTCGACCCAGTGTGTACTGTCACCAGTCTGGTCGACCCAGTGTGTACTGTCACCAGTCTGGTCGACCCAGTGTGTACTGTCACAAGTCTGGTCGACCCACCGTGTACTGTCACCAGTCTGGTCGACCCACCGTGTACTGTCACCAGTCTGGTCGACCCAGTGTGTACTGTCACCAGTCTGGTCGACCTCCTGTGTACTGTCACCAGTCTGATCGACCCAGTGTGTACTGTCACCAGTCTGGTCGACCCAGTGTGTACTGTCACCAGTCTGGTCGACCCAGTGTGTACTGTCACCAGTCTGGTCGACCCAGTGTGTACTGTCACCAGTCTGGTCGACCCAGTGTGTACTGTCACCAGTCTGATCGACCTCCTGTGTACTGTCACCAGTCTGGTCGACCCACCGTGTACTTTCACCAGTCTGGTCGACCCAGTGTGTACTGTCACCAGTCTGGTCGACCCAGTGTGTACTGTCACCAGTCTGGTCGACCCAGTGTGTACTGTCACCAGTCTGGTCGACCCAGTGTGTACTGTCACCAGTCTGGTCGACCCACCGTGTACTGTCACCAGTCTGGTCGACCCAGTGTGTACTGTCACCAGTCTGGTCGACCCAGTGTGTACTGTCACCAGTCTGGTCGACCCACCGTGTACTGTCACCAGTCTGGTCGACCCAGTGTGTACTGTCACCAGTCTGGTCGACCCAGTGTGTACTGTCACCAGTCTGGTCGACCCACCGTGCACTTTCACCAGTCTGGTCGACCCATCGTGTACTTTCACCAGTCTGGTCGACCCACCGTGTACTGTCACCAGTCTGGTCGACCCACCGTGTACTGTCACCAGTCTGGTCGACCCAGTGTGTACTGTCACCAGTCTGGTCGACCCAGTGTGTACTGTCACCAGTCTGGTCGACCCACCGTGTACTGTCACCAGTCTGGTCGACCCAGTGTGTACTGTCACCAGTCTGGTCGACCCAGTGTGTACTGTCACCAGTCTGGTCGACCCAGTGTGTACTGTCACCAGTCTGATCGACCTCCTGTGTACTGTCACCAGTCTGGTCGACCCACCGTGTACTTTCACCAGTCTGGTCGACCCACCGTGTACTTTCACCAGTCTGGTCGACCCAGTGTGTACTGTCACCAGTCTGATCGACCTCCTGTGTACTGTCACCAGTCTGGTCGACCCACCGTGTACTTTCACCAGTCTGATCGACCTCCTGTGTACTGTCACCAGTCTGGTCGACCCAGTGTGTACTGTCACCAGTCTGGTCGACCCAGTGTGTACTGTCACCAGTCTGATCGACCTCCTGTGTACTGTCACCAGTCTGGTCGACCCACCGTGTACTTTCACCAGTCTGATCGACCTCCTGTGTACTGTCACCAGTCTGGTCGACCCACCGTGTACTGTCACCAGTCTGGTCGACCTCCTGTGTACATTCCCCAGCACGAACAACCTGTTGTAACCACCTCATAGCAACACTGTAGCAATACAGTCTCCTTAAACAATCTGATTGTTGTGGAGCTCATCAAGTGTGTGTTGGAGGCCGTTAGGCACACTGACGCGTCTCAGGTGACTCAGACACATAAGGTTAGGACACATAAGCTTAGGAACACATAAGCTGAGGACACATAAGCTGAGGACACATAAGCTTAGGAACACATAAGGTTAGGAACACATAAGCTGAGGACACATAAGCTTAGGAACACATAAGGTTAGGAACACATAAGCTGAGGACACATAAGGTTAGGAACACATAAGCTTAGGAACACATAAGCTTAGGACACATAAGCTTAGGAACACATAAGGTTAGGAACACATAAGGTTAGGAACACATAAGCTTAGGACACATAAGGTTAGGAACACATAAGCTTAGGACACATAAGCTTAGGAACACATAAGGTTAGGAACACATAAGCTTAGGACACATAAGGTTAGGAACACATAAGGTTAGGAACACATAAGGTTAGGAACACATAAGCTTAGGACACATAAGGTTAGGAACACATAAGCTTAGGAACACATAAGCTTAGGACACATAAGGTTAGGAACACATAAGCTTAGGAACACATAAGCTGAGGACACATAAGGTTAGGAACACATAAGCTTAGGAACACATAAGCTTAGGAACACATAAGCTTAGGAACACATAAGCTGAGGACACATAAGGTTAGGAACACATAAGCTTAGGAACACATAAGCTTAGGACACATAAGGTTAGGAACACATAAGCTTAGGACACATAAGCTTAGGACACATAAGCTTAGGAACACATAAGCTTAGGACACATAAGGTTAGGAACACATAAGCTTAGGACACATAAGGTTAGGACACATAAGCTTAGGACACATAAGGTTAGGAACACATAAAGACACTGACCTTCCACTCGTAGAGACAGTCATTGACAAGGTCGACTGTGAAGACTGGGTCCTTGGCGTTCTGTTGGGTTCTAGAGAGTTCCTCGAACTCCTTCATGAGTCTGCGAGTTCTCACGACCTTCATGTGCTTCGTCGTCGACTCGTTCAGGAGGCCGCTGCTGGCGGCGCTGCTGCTGCTGCTGCTGCTCTTCTTGAAGAGGCCTGCGGCAGCCGTCGCAGCGGAAGCCGCCGAAGAAGGCGATGTTTTCCCGCGATTCGAAGTCTTGGGACTTCCAACTACGCCTTCCGAGGGCCCGACGCGGCTACCGTCGAGGTATGTGTGTCTGGAGAAGAACCTTCGAGTGTTGGAGGGTGAGTTGAGCCCTGCGATGCTGGCGCCGCCGCCAACACTGCCTTCTCCACCATCCACCAACACTTCTCCCTCATCTGAGGTGGTGTCATGGCGCCACGCTCCAGCTGGCTGGTTCTGGGAGGTTCTGGAAGCGGAGGATGATTCCCTACGCGCGCTGCTCTGATTGGTCGGTGTGGCGGGCGGGAACTGCGGCTCCAGTTTGTCGCTAGAACGGAAAAGCTTGCGGAAAGCGGCGGCCATCTTGGATCCCTGCGTCAGGAGCTGACGGCGGAGGAGTGAGTGAAGAGACGGGCAGCGCTGACGGTGGTGGGAGATTCTCCTCTCTGTCTCCTCCACCACGACACTCTCCTCCTCCCTCACCGCCTCCAACACACTCCCACGCATCAACTCTCCCTCACACACTCATCAACCCCTTCATTGTCCCTCTCGCCTCCCTAACTCACTCTAACACTTTGTGGAAGCCGGGACCAAAGAGCCGAAGCTCAACCTCTCTGAAAACACAACTAGATGATTAGTAGTTAAGTACTTTCTTCCCCCAAGACGGACTCACGCTCTTGTACGCAAAATAAAGTCTTTTATACAAGGTCTTTTATATATAGACTTGTTCCAAGTCTTCGTCCACAGAACAGCCTTTGGTACTGTAAGTACTAAGTTGCGGACATGAGGTCAGAGAGAGACTATGGAGACCCACAGCAAGGAGCCCATCGGTCCTGTCAACATCTCTGTGCTAATGACACAGCATCTTCCAATACGAAGTGCTAAGCAACTGCGATATGAGGAGGGGCCAGGGAGCTAGAGCCACAGAGCAACCAGGTCCATCACCTGCGGGGAGAGAGAGAGAGGCACTTAAATTAACTAATATTAACATCAATTATCACAAAAAAGCAACACACTATCATATTGGACAATCAAAAGGCGGTAATAATTAATAATATAATAATGGTAAAGATCTCTGTGGATGCCAATACGATAAACAATTACATAATGCGAGTGAGATCAAAGGCATGGGCTTGAGGGGGGAACTATCACAGCTACACATACTGAAGCAGCATATACGATAGTCCAGAAAATCTCGACATTATACAAGGAGGCGCGTGACTGCACGCTGGGTAGTGCAGTTGGGACAGTGATGCACTGGGTAGTGCATGTTGGAGGGTGTTCCATTGAGTTCCACTAAGTGCCCGTTAAACCCGTCCTGCTAACAGAACGTCGCAATTTGACGAATACTCTACCTAACTCGCACTATATCTAATGCTACCCAATTTCCCAATATATATTACTGGCTTTAGGTATTGTATGTACTTGCTCTATAAATCCAACGGTATGTATGTAACTCTGCATTTATCTATGTACTTTTCCTGAATAAATTATAATTATTATTATTATATGTACCTATGCCATACAAATTTACTATTGTAATCATTGCTGTTATCTTATATCATATTATGCACATAGTTTGCTACATAATATCTTGCAATAATCTTCAAATTATGCTACAATGTACCCGTGAATAACCCTTAAATTTACTTTAATGTACCTACTTTTTTTGTCAAATTTCTTATACAATTATATTTTTTTATACCTTCTTACAATGCATTTTATACCTTCTTATAATGTATTTATATACTTTCTTACAATGTACCTGTAAACTTTTTTTTTTTTAAACTTTGCTAGAAATTACCTTCTTAAAATTATGTTAGATTAAGGATTTGCCCGAAACGCTATGCGTGCTAGTGGCTTTACAAGACTGTAAAACTTCAAGTCTCTGTACTCTCATAAACCCATTGTACCTTCTGGTATATAAATAAATAAGGCTAAAAATTATGGTACTAGAAAATGGGTCGGGAAAGTGACGTAATGTCCAGTTTTCTGTTATGGGTTCTGGTAGGTTAAAAGCAATGGCGATAAAGGATAATGGCGATAAATTCCCCATTGCCATTCCAAAAGTCTGCAAATAATACTCATTATTAAAGGTAAATTTACATTCTGTAATGCAGCAGAAAGAGGTAAAACATGACTCATTAGTTCACGAGCAAGATAATCGAGAATATCATCAACCGGTACCTTTGTAAACAAGGAACAAACGTCAAAACTGATTAACTTTACATCAGGAGTGACAGGAACACTATTCAATTTGTTAACTAATTCAAGAGAATTGGTCAAATGAGAAGAGGAAATAGTTCCTAACAATGGGGACAAGATTTTGGTAAGCCATTTAGAGAGCTTGTAAGAAATGGATCCCACAGAACTGATGATAGGCCTCATGGGATTATTAGCCTTATGAGTCTTGACAAGTCCATACAGATATGGTAATGAAGGTGATGAGGTAGTAAATTGATTAAATTTAGTACTAAATTGTTTCGCGAGCGCTTTGTCCTGGGTTCGTATCCAGGGAGGATTTACTGGGTGCAAATCCTTAACTGTTGCCTCTGTTTAACTCAACAGTAAAATGGGCATCTGGTTGTTAAACAATTTTTCGCGGGGTGGTATTCCAGGGAACATGGGTTAAGGACTTGCCCTAAACGCTACGCGTACTAGTGGCTGTACAAGAATGTAACAACTCTTGTATACATAAATAAATAAATTAAGAATATCTTTATGTTTACTTAACAACTTCCTCAAGCTGCTATTGAAGGACTTGATGATGTCATCAAGAGGATTTTTCCTGAGTTTGGTGTATGTTGAAGAATCTTTAAGATCATTCATTTTTGAACATTGAACATTTTTCAGAGTGAATATGTATAATTTAGATCCATTTTTGATTGATCAGTTAAGGGGTGATTCGAGTAGGATCATTTAAATACATTTATCACACTAATACCTTGTTAATATTCACTATCTCATTATAGACATTAGTCTGTCTTCATCAGCCCGACCTTTTAAAGTGGTCTCCCTTAAACTTGTACATGGAATTCTTCGAAAAGAAATTTGTTTAGAAAATTACCCCTGGGAATCATTCCAGGGTTTCTGCCCGAAACGCTGCGCGTACTAGTGGCTATACAAGTTTGTAAATACTATGCAATGTATTCTCACAAACCCAATGTACCTTCTTGTATATAAATAAATAAAATAAAAAAAATAAAAAATATGTTGATGATATTTTGTGTATGTGGCCTACAGCTGTAAACACAGACGAATTTGTAGCCAAACTTAATGATGAAGTCACCTCTATAAAATTTACTATGGAGACTGAAATTGATAAATGTTTGCCATTCTTAGATATGGATTCATAGGGAAGATATTTCACTAAAGTTTAGTGTGTACAGAAAGCCTACGAATAATTTATCGTATGTTCATTATTTCTCAGTGAATAGATACAATGTGAAACAATCAATTTTTCCTCTATGTATCTAAGAGCTCTTCGGGTTGTTACTCCAGAATTCTTAGATGAAGAGTTTAAGAATATTGATTGTATATTGACCCAGAATGTGGAATGACCTTCCCAACCATGTTAAAGACTGTACCTCTCTCAACCAGGTTGATGGGGTTCTGGGAGTTCTTCTACTCCCCAAAAAGAACCCGGCCCGAGGCCAGGCTCGACTTGTGAGAGTTTGGTCCACCAGGCTGTTGCTTGGAGCGGCCCGCAGGCCCACATACCCACCACAGCCCGGTTGGTCCGGCACTCCTATCAGAGGAATAAATCTAGTTTCCTCTTGAAAATGTCCACGGTTGTTCCGGCAATATTTCTTATGCTTGCTGGGAGGACGTTGAAATTCGGCGCGGACCTCTGATGAAACCAGTTTAAGATAAGATAAAAACGAAGCTATACCTATTAACTCCCTGTAACCTACCTTACCCTATAATGTCAACCCATGTCTGTTATTTTTAAATAATGCTGTTTGTCGACCAAATTATATTTTTGATGTTTTCCTGCCATGTTCCCCCTTTTTTATTTTTATATTTTTCTCAACACATTTTATACTTTAATCTCAATTAGTATTAAGTTTTAGTCTTAGTGTTTTTCCTGCCCGAAACGCTTTGCGTAATAGTGGCTTTAGGCTTTGTATGTACTAGCTCTATCTATAAATTCATCAAAATCCGTATCACTCCTTGTATATATGTACTTTACCTAAATAAACATTTGATTTGATTTTGATTTTTGATTCTATTGGTCTCAAGCTTTGTTACCCACTGAATTTTTTTTAAAGTTTGCCGTAGCAAAGCACGTCGTACATATTATAATAATATATGCAGTGAGAAAATTTGCCCAAAGAATGTGTTATGTTTACCATATTTTTCTGGGTTTGAAAATATTGTCAAGGCCTTGAAGCTTTTTGATATACATGTATTGTTTAATAACGAAAATACTGTTGAAAACTATTAGTTAGAAACAGCCCTCGTAGTGATAATTGTGTCATTTATAAAATACCTTGTAAAGACTGTAATAAGTTCTATGTTGGGCAAACATCTGAAGATTTGAAATGTAGAATTTCGCAACATAAATACTCTGTAAGACATGGCCAATTGTCTAATGCTTTGTTTGTTTATCTGTCAGAAGATGCTCACCAAATTGATTGGGAGATGGTTTCTTCAATAACGAATTGTAAAATCACTTTCAATAGGAACATAATTGAATCTGCTTTAATAGAGATTTCAAAATCATGTAATTGGAACATTAGCAGTGGTTTGAATAATTTAGATTAATTTTTGATTGATCAGTTAAAGGGCGATTTGAATAGGATCATTGATACACATTTGTCTCACTAATTCATTGTTAATGTTCACTATCTCATTATAGACATTAGAACATAAGAATTAAGGTAACTGCAGAAGGCCTACTGGCCCATACGATGCAGCTCCTATTTATAACCACATTCTTTTTATCCATTGAATCCCATGATCTATGTATCTCACCTCACTTCACCTCTTTCCTGCCTATATATATGTCCAAACTAGTGAATTGTAAAGTCATCCTTCTGAAGATGTATTATTAAATACGAAAGTACTTAAGGAAATTCCTGTTTCAATTCTTCCTCCGTGGTCTGACACTGTCACATTTGTCCTTACGTGTTAATTTTCGTGATTTACACACACAAACACACACACACACACACAGGTGATAATACAATGAAGGTGAAAACATGGGGGATACATAAGGATAAACATAGGGGCTGCAGAAGGCTTATTGGCCCATACGATATCTAAACACAAGATTAATCCAGTGTAATTGGCCTGTTATGTTGGACATTGTCTTCTGTGTTGGCATCGATATGTTTTTCTTGTCTTGTCCTTACTCTCATGGTGGGTAGAGTAAACAGTTCCGTGATTTGGGTGTTCATGGTAGGTCGCTCTATTCTTATGTGAATTGCCTCAAGAATTTGTAATCTTCTTGAATCTTGGGTTTTGTCTATTATGCACGTATTCTTGTTCAACATTTCTCTTGTTAGAGTAATGTCTGGGCTTGTCTCATGTGATTCCTAGGGGCACCAGATTGAAGATGGCATGTCAAACGCCTCGTCAGCTTGGTCGACGTCATACCTATGTACTTACATTGAAGGTTACATCCTTCGTGGGGGCAAGTGTACTGTATACAACGCTTGACTGCTGTAGAGGGTTCTCCGTCGGCTTCGGGCTGTTTTTGATAAGGAGTTCGGAAGTCTTCTTGGTTTTGTAGAATATTATCAGGTTTATGTTTTGGTTA